ACGGGCCTCTCACTGTTGTGGCCCCTCCCGTTGTGGAGCACAGGCTCCGGACGCGCAAGCTCAGCGGCCATGGCTCACGGGCCCAGCCGCCCCGCAGCATGTGGGATCTTCCCAGACCGGGACACGAACCCGTGTCCCCTGCATCAGCAGGTGGACTCTCAACCACTGCGCCACCAGGGAAGCCCTGTTTGTTTGCTTTTATATTTTGCCGTACCACACAGCTTGCAGGATCTTAGGGATCCCACAGGGATCGAACCTGTGCCCCCTGCAGTGGAAGTGCAGAGTTCTAACCACTGGACCGCCAGGGAAGTCCCTGGTATGGTTTTATAAATTTATTAATTTATTTATTTTGGCTTGTTGGGTCATTGCTGTGCGCGGGCTTTCTCTGGTTGCGCTGAGCGGGGGCTGCTCTTCGTCGTGGTGCACGGGCTTCTCATTGCCGTGGCTTCTCTTGTTGCAGAACACGGGCTCTAGGCGCACGGGCTTCAGTAGTTGCAGCACGTGGGCTCAGTAGTTGTGGTTTGCAGGCTCTAGAGCGCAGGCTCAGTAGTTGTGGCGCACGGGCTTAGTTGCTCCGTGGCATGTGGGATCTTCCCGGACCAGGGCATGAACCCGTGGCCCCTGCATTGTTAGGCAGATTCTTAACCACTGCACCACCAGGGAAGTCCCCTGGTATGGTTTTAAATAACTAAAACGCAGACCTGATAGGATTACCAAATAGTTAACCCTTTCTGGAGAGCTAATAAGTGTACTTTATAATTAAGTGGCCCATCTTCTCCAGTGCCTGATTTGCCTTTGCCGAATATCTTATGCAGTATTTTTCAAAAGGTGCTGCTATAGGATGTTAACAAGTGTTGCTGTAAAGGAGGTACAGATCCATTAAACAAAGGTAGAAAGGTTTATTTTCTTCCCACAACTTTTAAACCAATATACTGGATCAACAAAAACAATGGAATATTATTCAGCCATAAAAAGAATGAAATACTAATACATACTGCAACACGGATGAGTTTTGAAAACATTATGTAAAATGAAAGAACTCAAACACAAATAACTACATATTGTATGATTCCATTTATATGAAATGTTCGGAATAGTTAAATCCATAGAGACAGAAAACAGATTAATGGTTGCCAGGGACTGGTGGGAAGAATGGGGGGTGATCGCTTAAGGGGTACAGAGTTTTCTCTTGGGATGATAAAAATGTTTTGGAACTAGATAGAGGTACTGGCTACAAAACATTGTGAATGTACTAAATATGCTGAATTGTATGCTTTAAAATGGTTAATTTTATGTTATGTGAATTTCACCTCAATTTAAAAAAACAATCAGGACAAGCTCAGTGTGCTTGTTGCTAATGGGGTGTCACTGTTCTCAGGCCTTCTCAGTGGACACAGCTAAGGAAAAAAATACCTATATGCATGGGGAACCTCTAGGCTAACCTATAAAGCATTTCACAAACAGGTTAGGGAGTCCTTTTTTGAGAGCATCTCACAGGACCTATGATGTAGAAGGCTGACCCAGCGCATGGAATGTTGGTGGAAATGTTTTTGTTTGTTTGGGGTTTTTGTTTGTTTGTTTTGGGGGGATGACTTTTGGTTTTGGTCAAGCTGCAGGGCATGCAGGATCTTAGCTCCCCAACCAGGGAACG